TTCATGTTCTACAAATCTCACTTTAAGATTTCCTTTGTGAAGAGCTAAGGAAAGCAAAATATTCACCACACCTGGAATATTTCTCGGTTTTGCTCTAGCTAATTTTTAAAGAAGCCAGTTAGGATTTACTTTGTCCTCTAAGGGATCAAATTATTATTATTTTTGTTATTTTAAGTGAGCCCCCAGGACTGTATCCTCAATTATAGTATGCTCTACCAAACTTTTGGAGATTTATATATAAACCCAATTTGGAGAGAAGCTTAAATCTCCAGTGGAATTTATGGAATAAACTATAGATATGTACGTATATATTTATTAATGACAGGGTCTCCACCTGTTGACTAGACTGGAGTGTAGTGGCACAATCACAGCTCACTGTAGCCTCGGATTCCTGGGCTTAAGTGATTCTCCTGCCTCAGTCTCCCAAGTACACAGGCACACATCCCCATGCCCAGCTATTTTTTAAAAATTTTTATAGAGACAGGGTCTTACTGTGTTGCCCAGGCTGGTCTCTAACTCCTGGGCTCAAGTGATCTTCCCACCTCGGTATCCCAATATGTTAGTTACAGGTATGAGCCACTGCACCCAGCCGGGAATTTATGAAATGAAAGTTTAAATGATACAGGAGGCTGTAGAACTTTTATTTCAAACCCTGATCATTTTGTTTATCTTGTCAGTTGGTCAACCTTTAACTTGTGGCCTAGTAATTAATTTAATGTATACTGTTCATAGTACAGCAATTTTCTTAAGGCTTCGACTAGTACTAAGGACAAAAAGCATTATGGCACTTATTTTCTGAAGCAGTAGACTTCATCTAGATCCATGTGTCAGTCACATAGCTCAACCATACCAAATTAATACAAAAAATACTTTGCAAGAATGTAAGCTCCATGAAGGCAGGACTTTTGGTTCACCACTGTGACCTCACGGTGAAGAACAGTGCTAGACATTGCAGGCACTCAGTATTTGTTGAATGCATTTGTTTTCTATGCAAATTGCTCGAGTCAAATCCAAACTGAGTGGAGAACCTTTTTCAAGTTGATTTTTCAAGAAGAAAAGCTATGCAAAATGTCACTGTCAAAGATAAAGGGTGTACAGTAACAATCAGTTCTCCGCAGACAGAACACAGGAAAATAAAAGAAGAGCGCATCTAAGCAAAAATGCAAGAACATGAAAATCCTCAATAGTACTTTTCCAAAAATGTAACAAATATGACAGTTATGTATCAGTGGCTTACATTATTTAGTCTCTTTCTCGTTTCCTGTTAGCCCAGAAACCCACACTGTTTTGTTCAAAACATCATATTCTAACAGTGTTTTCCACACTACCCTAAGCAATATCAGGCTCTTAAACAAATTAAACCACTGTATTAGATCATTAAACCATTTACTGTGAAATACTTAAGAGTTACTGAAGAGGTAGAAGGGTATGGGAAAAAAGGGATAATGGTAGTTTTTAGTTGGGTTGAAAAACACCAGACACTTATCCCTTACCTTATTAGCACGTATCTGTTTGTAAATGTCTGTTTGCTGCCGAATTCGATATTCCAAGTCAGAAACATGAGCCTGAAGCCAGTTCCAGCGGCTGACAATGGCTGCTCGGTCTGCAGCCCATCTCCATTCTGACCTGCGTCTCCTAAAAGGAAACAAACTGAATGAAATCCAAGGGTGGCAGTAAAATCTATGGGGTGAGAGGTGGGAATGTATGGGATTTAATTTCTAAAGGTCCTTATATAGACTAACTCTAGTTCAAGAAAAACCCAAGACAGACAGACAGACAGACAGACACAGACACACACACACACACACACACACACACACACACACACTCTCTCTCTCTCACACTCACTCACTCACTCTCCCCCCCGCCGCCACAGGACACAGTCAGATAAAACCCTTCATACAGATTTTCCCAAATTAACTAAGTGGAACTGCCTTCCGGTATCCTGGTCCTGTGGCACATAAGTTCTCTGAAATTGGATTTCTCAGGAGACAGAAGTATTTTCTACATTAAAGACTAACCTATGCAGAAAATCCAAGAGACACTACACATT